TATTTCATGTTCACTCTAGGACTTAACTGCTGATTCCTGATAGCCACCTCGTTGTTCAATAGGGTAAAGTTTTTAAATTCAGTTGGTGTTGTTTTACTTGTATCTTCCCATTGTTATTTTGGACTACAATTAATCAGTCTCAACTAATTTGTGTTTGCTGAAAATCTCATTGATCATGGATAATAGTAATCACAGAAATATGATGACGGATTTATTATATTCTCTGGGACTAATTCTCTTTTAACATAAAATTTCTATTAACTTCTTTGTAATACTTGACTTTAATGCCTTATTCATATGGTTTATATTAAGCATTAATACCGTTGGATGCCGGCTCAGTGGTCTAGATGTTACGCTGTCCTGGCGTGAGACCAAAGGTCCTATGTTCGGCTATCCTTGGTACGAAATCATAGATGCGTACTACTAAGAAGTTCCATACTAAGATAAAACATCTATTCACTGCTTCCAGGTTTTCAATGGTAGTCTAACATTGATTCATTTATGATATTAACCTAACAGTCAGAAATCTTGATCTATCATATCATGTATCAACTAGACGAAATCTATAAAATCTGACATAATACTTTAATTGATGTATCACTACAAGTTATTTTCAAGCCATTTTTTTTTAATTCAGGTCAATCAAGAAAATTTAATTTGAAATTTTATATGGTCAAATATCATATTACTGATTTACTTTAATATAACTAATTCTGAAATGAAAGTTTAAAAACCAAAAAAAAGAAGTAAACAATGACAAATTTAAGGTCAATAAGAACCAATTAACATCGAGGTGTACAGAACAAGCTGTGAAACGCATATAGAGAAATTCGAACACATCACTTCTATTTGAAGTTTGTGCTGCTGATGATGTCGTTCAGAAGAACGATGAAAGCTCCACGACCAAATGATTCAGTTCAGAGAACAAAACGCCATTAAAATCATCCATCTGAGCTACAAATCTTCTCCACCATCTCACATTCCTTTCTCTTTAGTAAATGCTCATCTAAATTTTAAACTTACTTACCAATGCCTGTTACTCCCAAGGTAGTATAGGCCGCCAACCAGCTAATTTAATCTGATATCCAATAAGAAATTCTCTAGTATCTTTTTATACATTTAATGGGTCAATACTTCATTCAAGTGTAATATTCACCGTGAATTTTATTTAAGTCATCTAAAACTATTTGTATATGTATTTTATTAACAGAACAGTATTGGTGCAGACTGACTAAATGAAGGAAAAGTTAGAGCATGAAATGAGAACTACAATAAAAATTACTTTCTTAGATATTGAGCATTAACTCTCTAAGTAAACTGGAAAATATTAGATAATGCACACAAATTTAAAATTTAGTTCTCAGTGTAGGGTTGTGGAAATCGTTAAGTTTTAGATTGAGATCATGAATCGATAGGTCTTGGACTACTATTGAAAACTTGAAATTACTAGATAACCATTTCGTCCTAGTATGGAACTCCTCAATAGTGCACATCCACGATTCCGCTGGCGAGATTCGAAACCAGAACCATCTTCTATTGTCTGAGGTAGATACCTGTCTCTACCTGACATGGATTATCTGCACTGGTAACCGCTTCTCGTGCATGCGCACTGCTAATGTGTCTGACACTAGAACAAAACGGCCATTGAGTGATTCCAGGTTTTCTATAGTAGTCTAACATCAATCGACTCATGATCTCGATTTAAAATGTTCTTACTGTCACTAAGGAGCTTGATTATAGTTTCTTTTCTTTGTCACAAAAATGAATTAAAAGTATGAAATAATCAATATTCATTGATGAGTGTTTTTTTCTGTATTGTAAATAGGTGTCATTTATCCATAATTTTTAAGGGAAAATTATTTTGAATAAATAGTTGTTTATCAACATTAAGCTAATTTATGCATACTTAATACACTATTTTCTAAACATGATGAATGTTGTTAATTATCTCACGTTCATATGCGTAAAACAACAACAGCAACAACAACAACAACAACTTCAACTCGGTTATTTACTCAGTCCGAAGAAGTGACTTACGTTAAGTGACGAAATGTCAGATATAAAATTTTTCTGTTCGTTGAGATATAATAAAATATATTATCAGAAAGGCGTATGGTGGAGATTGCAGTAATTTAATATTTGAATTAATGATTCCGTTAAACCTAGATCACCATAGAAAACCTAGGAACACTAAACAACCGTTTTGTCTTAGTATGGGACTTTTCAGCTGTGCACATTCAGGATCTCACAATAAAAGGACTTTAACCCAAGAACTTCGGTCTCGAGCGCGAACGCTTAATATCTAGATCACTGAGCCGACATCCAATAGTGTTAATGTTTAACTTCAACCAATCCACGACATTGCGCCACCGTTTACCATTGTCTTCAGTGAGTTACCAAATCACAGGATTGAATATATTTATTATTAACAAGTTCAGTGTAATTGACAAAATTTAACTAGTTTGCAAGTGAGATATTTATTACCAATTTCTATGAATGATCATTACACAATATAAATAATTGATTTAGTCTAGAAATATGAAACAATGAATTCAAATAAATTGACATTAAGTTAATCCATTTGACGTATTTCTCAAAATATCTAGTATTCTATGACATAAGAATTGTGAATGTTCTAAGTAGCCAAAACAATTTCAATAGTTGAATTCATGAGTCAATTAAAGCTAAACCACTCTAGAAAACCTAGAAGCACTGCACAACCGTTTTGTTGAAGTGAGACAATAATACCGTTGAATGTCGTTCGGCTCAGTGGTCTAGTGGTTAAGCGTTCGCTTGCGACATCGATAGGTCCTGGGTTCGAATCTCATGGAGCGAGATCGTGGATGAGCACTGCTGAGGAATCGCACAATAGGACGAAACGTCCATCAAGTGCTTCCAGGTTTTCCATGATGGTCTGGCTTCAATTAACTCATGATCTCAACCATTGAAAATTACTATGATATCCACAAAACCCCTTCTGATACTAATCAACATGTGCTCACTAGTTACTGGTTTCATGAGGTATTTCCTAGAGTTCTGATGAGAAGCAGTTACCACTGGAGTTCAATTGGGTCTGTTGTGAGATGGTAACTCACTGATGACAATTGTGGATGTGTTGTTGAATTTCATGGATTAGTTGAAATTAGACATTAAGACCGTTGGATGCCGGCCGGCTGGCTCAGTGTTGTAAATGTTATGAGTTCGTGAGCGAGACTGATATATCCTGGATTCGAATCTCACGAGGCAAGGTCTTGAATGTGCACTGCCGAAAAGTTCTATACTCAAACGAGACGGCCATCTAGAGCTTAAATGATGTTTCTTTACAGCTGAACTCAGTTTTTAATATAATTTTTCCTCAAACTTTATTATAAATATTAATTTAAACTTTGTTTAAGTAAACAAAAATATAAATATAAAACTGATTTATTGCTACGTTGATATAATCAACTTTGAATAAAAACAATCTACCTGCAATATACGGTTTACTTTCATTGTTTACTGACAAATCGTTATTGATTATACTACTAATACAAATACTACTTATAATAATTCAATCATTTATATCGATAATATTTTGCCTGTTCGCATTTGACCTGATATAAAGTTTAATATTAAATAATGATTTGGTTAATAAATATACAGGGTTTCTAAGTGAATGTAGACAACAATAACTTTTTGATTGGGTTATAATTGATTCAATCAAAATAATTCACTCTAAAATTATTAAACAATCTAAATTAACATGAAACCAATATAGTTATTGATTTAATTGATTTAAAATATAATTGCGCCGGTATGGTCGAGAGTGGGGAGAGTCAGTTCCTATTCTCTCTCTCTCTCTCGAAATGCTGTCACATGTCCACGTGTATACAACCACTCACACAGAAGTCCTAATCACTGCATCCTCGAGATGAGAGCGTTGTTTACGAAATTCAGAGGACAAAAAGTGAATGTTCAGTGCTTTAACCAGGTTGGTGGATATGGAGAGTCCACCTAGAGGACTTGATAAACTCTGATTCCAAACCAATGGTGCACACATGGGCTCGAGGATCCTAAGGGAATAAATGATATATGAACCAATCGTTGGTCACCGGTTACTATGGGACTGGATCTACTTATGTTGGTCCATTGCCTTGTGAATTAGACCTTTGGTTTGCAGGTTCCGGGTGCTGCTTCCAAAGAAAACCATCTGCTTCCGTCTGAGCACCTGAGCAGTATCACAGCCCACACACTAGTCAAATGATAAATACTACTGGAAAAATTACTCTTGTTTCAACGCTCATTTAGACAAGTCACGTTCACAATCATTAGATAACATTCATTCTTATTTCTTTTATACTACGTCAGTTATTTACTCCATCTGTCTCTTCGGACAGCTTGTTTCACGTGCGTTTATATGGAGACCTTATGGCACCTTTGTCTGGTTTTTCTAGTGTTCGTGATGACGTTCACACTCGCAGGATTCGAACTCAGGACCTTCAGCTCAATAGTCTAAAGGTTAAGCGTTCTCGCTCAATACCGAAGGTCTTAGGTACGAATTTTGCAAGTGGGTTCATGGATGCGCACTGCTAAAGAATCCCATACTATTACGAGACAGCCGTTCAGTGTTTTTAGGTTTTCCATGATGGTCTAGATTTATTTGACTCATGAACTTAACCATTAAATTATTACGATCTTCATAAAAAATAAAGCCCCTTATGTTAAATATCATCATATGTTTACTAGTAGCTGGCTTCAACAGGTATTTCCTGGAGTTCTAGTAAGAAGCTATGACCAGTGTAGTTCAACCGGTTCTGTTATGAGATAGTAACTCACAGAATAAAATGTTGGACGGCGATGTAATTTCGTGGATTACTGAACATAACATTGAATATACTTTATTATTCTTCACTGATTAGACTCATCTAATGTTTAGAGACCTATAAGCACTATAAACAAATATTATTGTAATCATTCAATTGATTTATTGTTTATTGTTTACATTTTATTTATTTTCATAGGTGGAATATTTGCAGACTTGTTAAGAATTAATACTAAATTATCACGAACTACAATACATAAATTATTTGCTGGATTAGGATTTGGATTAAAAGGTATATTCTTTATAGCACTTGGTTATGCACCATCTGAAATCTATGCAACAATGTTACTTTCATTGGCATTAGGTAAGTAATATCTATCTATCTATCTATCTATCATGTTTTTTCTCTCTCCAGATTTTATTCTTTTTTAATAAGTTTATTGTTTGATTAATGATATTTATTTATTTAAACATATAAATATATAAACATATAAATATTGGCACTGAATACATATGTATCACACAAGTCACTTGATTTATGTATGGGATGTGATACTCCCAGGGTACTCAAACAGAAACAGGTGGTTTACTTAGGAGGCAACACACGGAGCCTTAGAACTAAAAGTTTAGTCCACAAGGTAGTGGAGCGACGTAAGAAGATGCAGTCCCATAGTAAACGGTGACCAACGATTAGTTCATATATCATTTATTCCCTTAGGATCCTCGAGCCCATGTGTGCACCATTGGTTTGGAATCAGAGATTTCCAAATCCTCTAGGTGGACTCTTCATATCCACCAACCTGATTAAAGCACTGAACATTCACTTTTTGTCCTCTGAATTTCGTAAACAACGCTCTCATCTCGAGGATGCAGTGATTAGGACTTCTGTGTGAGTGGTTGTATACACGTGGACATGTGACAGCATTTCGAGAGAGAAAGAGAGAGTAAGAGCTGACTCTTCCCACCCTCGGCCATACTAGGGCATTTCGGGGTAAATTATTTGAGCTTTGATTTTTGTAAAATAATGAATGAGTTTCTTATATGATCCTGTTAATTAAGCTGTATTAAACATTGAACGAGAACAATCTTGAAAATAAATCAAAATGTACTTTCATTTGCTTTCAGTTATGTAAAATTTAGTAAAGTATGGAGTGATTACAAGTCAGTTAGCCTCATTTTCAAAAACTAGTTTGGACAATACAATTCAATCAGAATTTTATAAGGAACAATATAATACCAGGCACCATCAAGTGAAAAACTAACGTATAAAACAACAATGAAAATTGTTAAACATTATTGCCAATAGACACTTAAAGAATCAATTAATATATTAGCCAATTAGTAAGTATTTTACTTACTTACTTATACATGTTACTCCTCGTGGAGGAGCATATGCCGCCCACCAACACTCTCCATCCAACCCTGTCCTAGGTAACCCTTTCCAGCTCATTCCAGCTGTCACTCATTCTTTTCATATCTGCTTCTATTTGCCGACGTAATGTGTTATTTAACCTTCTACTTTTCCGCCTCCCTTCACGATTCTAAATCAGTGCTTGCCTCGTGATGCAGTTTGATGATTTCCTTAATGTATGTCCTATCCATTTCCACCATCTTTACCTAATTTCCTCTTCAGATGGAAACTGGTTTGTCCTCTCTCACAGTAGGCTGTTGTTGATTGTATTTGGCCAATGGATGTTGAGTATCTTGCGTAGACAATTATTTATAAATACTTATACCTACTTGATGATACTTGTATTAATTCTCCAAGTTTTAGCTGCGTACAGTAGAACTGTGTAGACATTCGTATTGAAGATTCTTTCTTTGATATTGGTTGAAAGTTGTTTTGAGTTCTATACGTTCTTCAATTGTAGGAATGCTGTGCTCAATGATGCTATACAGATACATGAAAGATCTCACATCTTCCAGGGTTCCTCCTTCATGTATCGTAGGGTTAGTGTTCTCTGTGTTGACCTTGAGGATGTTACTTTTTCCCTTGTGTATGCTGAGGCCTACTGATATAGAGGCTGCTGTTACACTGGTTGTCTATACCTGCGTTTGTTCGTGAGTATGGGATAGGAGTGCTAAAACAACTCCAACCAGATTAAATAGAAGTATATTACTCATTGATAATAACAGCTATACTATAAATTTATTGTCTCATTGTGTACTTAAACAAGATTGCTTCTCTCAGAATACCCATATATCACCAATGGTTTATCAAGATCCAATCAAGATTACCAGCAATGAAATAATTCAAATCCTTCATAATATTGATTGAAAGAAAAACTAATGATCTGTGAGAATTTCAAACAAAACACTTTCATTTAGTCACCTTGTTTTAGATTTAAGAATCCTATCACCATCAAAATATGGTAAAAATAGGCCTAATTTATTTCATCATTTCAGCATGTTGTAATCATTTCGAAATACACTTTGTTTCTAAGATAATAAAAAAAACAAAAAGAAGAAATTAATCCCTTAATCCAAAAAGAAAGAAAAAAGTTAATGTAAACAAATTTAGTTTTAGAAGAGGTTTTTTGTGGAAATTGTAGTCATTTCAATAGTTGAGATCATGAGTTATTTGAAGCTAGAACAACATGGAAAACCTGGAAACACTGGACGGCCGTATGGTCCTATTGTGGGACTCCTCAGCAGTGTGCATTCACGACAACACCTCGTGAGATCCGAACTCTGGGCCTCTCAGTCTCTCTCGCGAACGCTTAATCACTAGACCACTGAGCTGGCCGGCATCTAACGGTGTTAATGTCTGACTTCAATCAAACCACGAAATTGAGTGACACATTCATCATTGTCGTCAGTGAGTTACTATCTCACAACAGACCTGGCAGTTCAGTGCTTCCAGGTTTTCCATGTTAGTCTGGCTTCAATTGATTCATGATCTCAACTTATGAAATTTAGTTTTTTTAAAAAAAAAAAAGATTAACTGACTGTGAAAATCATGTGTCCTAGTTCTAGATAATTGGAAATAAAATATCCTTGATATTTGAATAACTCAAAGAGATAACTGATGAATTAGCATGGGAAACTAATAAAGAGTAAAGGTATAATACATATATCTATAATATATCTAACAGGAGAATTTCCGGTGTTCAGTCATTAGTATTATTTCAAGTCTATTTATCTCATGTTAGAATGTACATCAGAATGATATAATTGATTTTGAACAAACGTTTTTATGTATGTTAAAAAAACCAACGTGTTTCACAATGTTGCTCTACAATCACTTTGTTTATAAAACTTGTAACTTAAGTCAATATTGAGGCAATCTGCACATGATACACATATGAGGCCGATAAATTACAGTTCTAAATAATAATGGGAAGATTCAAGCAAACAACACCAAATAAATTTAAAAACTTCACCCCATTGCAAAAGCAGGTGGCTATCAGGATTCAATAGGTAAGTGGATAATGCGATGGCGTTTGAAGTGAACGGTACCGGGTTCGAGTCCCAGGGTGAACATCAACTCTGAGATGCCGGTACATCCAACTGACGAGTCCCAAAAAGGACAAGGTGGTGCGCGTTGTGGATTCCATTGCTAGCCACTATGCATCTTTGCTTAAAAACTTGTAAGCTAAAGCAATATGGAGGCGATCAATACTGAATGTACATATATCAATATGAGACTGATCAAACAGAGTCCTAAATATCAAATAGAAGATTCGAATGACTAATACAATAATGCAAATGATATATAATATATTTATTTCTGTAGAAATCTAAAGTTTCTGATGTATGAAGAATAAAATTTATACAATACTTAACAAGTAATCGAACTAATGTGATCTAATTTTGAAATGAGTACAAATAGGGCTAATTTATTTATTTATTTAAACACAAACATTAGTACAAGGAGGCACCAAACAGATGTGCGCCACATAAATCATTTGGTTTATGTGAGGGCTGGGATATTACCCGAGTGCCCGAACCGAACCAGGTGTTTTTCTTCGGAAGCAACACCCAGAACCTTCAAACTAAAGGTCTAATCCACAAGGTAGTGGATCAACATAAGGAGATGCAGTCCCATAGTAACCGGTGACTGACGATTAGTTCATATGGCATTCATTCTCTTAGGATCCGTGAGGCCATGTACACCATTGGTTTGGAATCAGAGTTTTCCAACTTCCTTAAGTGGGTCCTCCATTTCCACCAACCTAGTTAAAGCACTGGATATTCGCTTTTTGTCCTCTGAATTTCGTAAACAACGTTCTCACCTCGAGGATGCAGTGATTAGGACTTCTGTGTGAGTGGTTGTATACACGTGACCATGTGACAGCACTTCAAGGGAGAGAGCTGACTCTCCACTCTCGGCTGTAATAGGGCATTTGGAGGCCATGCTTTATAATGTAAACATCTCGTAGAATCATACATAGATTTCTTGCACATACGTACAGTTATTGTTATCATTGTACAATAAATATTTTTAAAGTATTTTATCATTTGAACATATCATAATGATTCTGTTGTTATCTTTGGCTAAATAGCATCTATAGACTAAAGCACACTAAATAAGTATTTCATCCTAGTACAGAACTCCTCACTAATGTATATCTACTGCTACACCAGAAATCGAACTCAGTACATTCAAGACATTTAGTCGATAACTATTGGTTTTCAGTACTAATTATTGTCATTTCACAATATCAACAATGATTCACATTTATGTTACGTGTTTTGTGCCTGATACTAACTAAACTTCATTAATAATAGATTCCAAGTAGAATTACAGGAATTCACCCTTGAAGAGCACTTTTATTTATACAAAACATTAATTCAATTTTTCATGGGGTTTGTTCTTTGATGAACAGTATTTCCAACACATGTTTAATACATAAAAAAATTTCGTGGATTGATTGAGGTTAGGCATTAACACCATTGGATGCCAGTTTAGTGGCGAGACTGAAGACCCTGGGTTCGAATCCCGCGAGTGGATGCATACTACTGAGGAGTCTCACAATAGAGGGAAAAAGGACATCCAGTGCTTCCAGGTTTTCAATGGTGGTCTGATATCAATCGGTTCATAATCTCAAACGGAAACATAAATATATACTTATCACTTCAATTAATCTAATGCTTGATTTAGTAACCATGTTACATCATCAGTTTTATAAAATTTTCACTGTTTAAAATAAAAAGTAATACAAACTAATCATGATATTTAGACTATTTATTAGTTATGTGCTACAGTATTTCAGTGGATTTAATGGCACATAACGTTTCGCTTTAACAGTTTAGTAAAAAAGTGTTAGTTCAAACAGACTAGAAATTCAAATGGTAAAACTTATCAATTCAACACAAAAAGTACTGAAGTGAACGAGAACACACAATTGGGGACAATCGAAT